ATTTAACAAAATATATGCAATACTCTAAATTGAGTCTTATAAAATATTTCTGAGAAAAGATAAAGAAGAGTTAAATAACTGGGAAGTTATGCCATGTTCATTAACTGGAAGACTCAATAATGTTAAGATATTAACTCTTCCTAACATGTTTTATAGATTGAATACAACCCAACAGTAATCACACCAAGCTACTTTTAGTATGGACAAATGTATTCAAAGTTTATATGGAAAAAGAAAAGATACAGAATATTGAACAGAATACTAAAGAAAATAGAGCACGACACTAATTCCAAAGCTTACTACAAAGTCATGAAGAGAGTGTGGTATTGCTATAAAAATGGACATAAAAATCATGGAAAACAGTTTATAGTTCATAAATAGGAACGGAAATACACTCAATGGACTTAAAATATATGGTATTTTCAATAAAGAACAGGATACTGTAGTCTATTTGTAAGTAGTTCTGGGAAAAATGAAAAATAAATTTTGGCCCTCACCTTACATAACTTTAAGAAAGTAAAATCAGTTGAATAATTGATCAAATGCAAGTACTAAAACTATTAAACTTTTAGAAGAAAACCTGTGAAAAAAGTATACATCATAATTGATAATTACTAGGAAAATGAAAAGTCAAGTCACTGACTAGAAGAAATACTTGCAAAACATATATTAGGGGTATTTTCTGGAATATTTTTAGAAAATCAAATGTTTACTAGTCAGTAATAAGAGAAGCAACTCAGTGCAAGTATGGGCAAAGGGTTAGTATAAATTCTCAGGAAAGATAAATGAATTTCCAAAAAGCATATAAATATTCTCATAATCTTCAGTCATAAGAAAAACATAAATTAAAACCAAAATGAGACGCCACAGCACACCTACCAGAATGGCTAAAATTAAAACTATTGATGTTATCATGTAATAGAAGAAACCTGTTTATGTAATATTCTCTTTGAATTTGTTGTTATTTTTGAGTTTTACGATGTAATCCAGGCTGGTCTCAACATGTAGCTCAAACTGGCCTGGAGCTCAAGATCCCCCTGCCTAGGCCTCTGGCATGCTGTGAAAGTCCTGGAAAGCAAAACTATAGTGAAAGCAGATCATTGTATGTACTACAATCGAGAAGAGATAGCTACAAAGAGAACAAAGCAACTTTTTGGGTGATGAAGTAATCTAAATCTTGATCTGGTTGTGATTTTTATGGCAGTATGTGTATATATTTCTCTAAACTCATTGAATTATAGTTTCAAATATGTAAATTTCTATAGAAGGAAATTATACTTCAGAAAGTTAATTTGGAAACACGAGAAAGGTGCACATTGAAGAGAATCACACACACACACACACACATGTGCAAAAACAATAGTATTGAGTGCTATCAAAGATAATCTGAAAAATCCTACAAGAATCTTCCCATCAAAACATCCAGGTACATTTAGCTTATCATAATAATTTTATGTTAAAAATAAATTTTGATACCACAAAACAATTGACAAGTTTAGTATTGCCTTTTTTTTTCACAGAATGATTCTTTGCAATACATGTTTGATCACCTGCCTTTTTACTGGCGATTGATAGTGACTAAATTTTTAGGAGTTTTTTTTAAAATAGTAATTTTAAGTCTCTATCATTACCCTTTGCTCAGAAATTAAAACGACTTGGTAACACTTTGTCATTGCACAGGAAACCTACAAGATACAGCAGAGTATTGCTAACATCTGTTTCACAAGTTGGGAATTTTGCCTAATGGATTGTATCCAATTTGGACATTTATCAAATCTCAGAAAGCTTGGGTTTTACTTTAAAATACAACTTAATTGCTAGATTGGGGGTGGGGTGGAATATGAAATGAATATTATCAGTGTATTTTAAAATCCCCAAATGAGCCTCTAACTCAGAAACTAGAATTGGAAACAGTAATTTATAAATTATATCTTAAATGGTTATTCCAAAATCTCACACATGAAACATCCTTCATACTTAAGGGAGGATTGATTATAAAACAAAACTAAGAATAACAGTTTGTCTTCAGAGATCATTTTTGAACATGAGATAAAAAAGTAGATGGAATCTGTGGGTATTTTGCAAGGATTATTTACATGTTCTCAATAAGAATGGCTCCATATTTTTAAAAATTCATTATTTTACTCAAAATGCATAGGTATGACACTGTTAGTTAGTTTCCTCTCACTGCTGAGACAAAACACCCAGCACCCAGAGTCAGAGGGAGAGAGGTTTATTTGGCCAACATTCTGTAGAGGTTTCAGTCCATAATCGGGTGGTTCCCAGGCAGGGTGGCAGAAGCAGCAAGGGCAACAAGAGCCTTGAACAGTGTCTTCCTGCTCCCTTTATTTTCTTCACATTACCGGGACCAGGGTGGTGCCAAGCCAAGCATTCATTCACTTGTGGTGCTTTAGTAATCACATGCTTTAGTCCTAGTGTCACACGCTGTACATATACCCACCTCAGAAAAAAGCCCATCTATGACTGCATGAGGCTGTGGGGGGACATGACACAGCCGTAACACACACCAACAACACTCCTGTGGTTGTCCTGCATGACCCAGCAGGGACCTCCCAGTTGTTCTCCAACACATGCAAATAAATAAGGTGAATGGAGGAGGATAAAGACAGCAGACAGAATGTGTGTCTACACAAGGAAGATTATTTGAGATGGAATCAAAGACTGAGTGGGACAGTGCGAAGAGTAGAAAGGAAAATGACAAAAGAGAAGCCAAACATTAATTAATTTGATCTCCCAAAAAGACACCAGGAAATTTAGTACTCGAGTTAAAAAAAAAAAGAATTGCACAGATTTGTCAAAGGGTTACGCAATACTCAAAGGGGATCGTTGAGGCAGAAAAGGAAGGTGCACAGGAAGTTCACGTTCGATATGGTATTACGCTCTGTCCTGTGTTTTTGCGTATCAGCAAGAGGGCTGCAGTCAGACAGCTGAGTTCAAACTCCAGCTTGAACACTTGATGCTGAGATTTTTAAGGATAGCACTGATCTTTTTCATACCTTGTTATCTACAAAGAACTAACCTACTCTAGAAACCGCAGGAGTATAGTCAAGCATCTGTTTTGTTTGGTTTTGAAGCGCTCCAGTTGATTCTAATGAAAACCTAGGCTTGGGAGTCACTGGATTAGTTAAAATCTAAGATTTTATAATTATGTTTTATAGTTGTAGACACCAAATCATCATGACTTCAAAGTCAAATGGATACTTAGAAATATTTTCTGACTGTCAAATCACATGGTAGCTATTTACACAGAAAATTCTTAATAAATATTTCTAAGAACAGATACTTTAAATGCAGAGAAATAGTTTCAGGGAAGTTAGCGGGCCAAAATCAGTGGCAGAACCCAGGGAGGGTTTCTATTTATCTTCCAGGAAATAATGTCTTATTTATGCTACTAGTGTTCTATTTTTCATGTATGTAGACATTTTTATATGTCCTGTAATTCGGCCTTAATTCTAGAAAAGAAATTCCTAGAGTTACTACCTAAAAATACTTTTGAGGGGTATTTTCTCTCATTGACACATAAATAAAGTCCAATAGGATTTTTAATTTCCAAATAATAAAATTAAGATATGACTGACTATCTTTCATACAGAGATCAGGAGGGGGTAATGAGAAAAATCTGAAGGAGGCCAAGTATTAACAATTAAAATCAATAAATGATAGCTGAATCTTAGGCTTGTGGGGATAATATTCCTTTTCTTGTCAGAACTTCACTTCTTCTACGAAAATGAGAAGTTCCACATATTACAGTATTTCTAGACTTCTGTACATGAAAGGAAATATATTTATTTCAATAGCAGCTTGACCATCATAACTCTTGAATGAAAAGTTTTTCCTTTGGTTCCTGGGGCACCATTCATGTACACTTGACTATTTAATCTTGGTCTTCAGACCTTAAATTTGGGTCAGTAAACACAGTTATTTGACATGAACACTTCTACTCTGATATGAGTGACACACTCACTCCAGTACTTACCTATTTGTCCGTGATTTTTAAAGCCTAATAAGTTCACTAGACGTAACAGTCAAAGACTTTTCACTCAGGCCTGTTAGAGCTAGGCTTAAATTTATGCTGTTACAGGGTTGGAGATGGGAGGGTCCTTACAGTCATTCAAGCTAGAACGCTGAAAGACATAAACTGACCAATTATAAAAGAAGAGTTAACACAGTTTGATTGTGACCATTTTTATTTTAACTGCATTGTTGGGTACTTTATTGTTTGGAATATTGCGTTTATCCAATATTTATTTTGCATATTTAAAAAATTTCCAGAGTTAATACTTTCGTACATAACATCTTCCTAATAGTAGTCAATCTTGGAGGTGATTTATATTGTAACCTCAAGGATGCAAAAAAAAACAACAACAACAGAAAATTACAATGCTGGGTAGGATTTTGCAGGTATCTGTTGCCATGTTGAGCAAAAAGTTCAAGATTTTCAGTCCTTTGAAACAGTTTTGCATTTAAAGCAAAAGAAATAAGCTTTTGAAAAGTTCAAGTTTGAACTCATCATGTGGCTTTTACACAAAAAAGCTTTACGCACATTAAGTTGTAGCAGTCATGCAGTTCATATTGGTTGCTGTTTTAGGTACAGGTAAATCACTGGATTTTAAAAATCTAGTTTTGCTATGTGATTAAGTAGTTCTCAAAATAACCTATGAAGGCTCTCCTATCTAAAGGATAGTGATGATGCACGCGGTCCATTTAACATGCACAGTGTTCCAAATCTGTTCTGTCCTAAACATCGTATAGTCAGCCAGAGGGTAAACTCACCAATGGACCTTATCAAGGCTCTCACCTGAGAACTACTGAGCAGAAATGAAGAGACTTACAAGTTCGTCATATCAAAGAGGTAATAATCATTTGTGATTTTACAACCTTCTAAGACAAAAGATTACATATCTTCAATGACTTCATTTAAATGTGACTTGAATAAACATAGCATTCTGGATATAAAGCATTCGTTAACATTGTTGTTCGGTACCTGGTTTTATTTTTTTGGTATATTTGCATATTGCATCCAGAGCCACCAATTTTCCACAGTGCATCTACCTCATTCAAGTATAATAAAAGTAGAAATCTATAGAAGCTCTAAGGTTAAACAAACTGTACATCATACAAAAAATTAACTTACTTTACAGACAGTTAAAAGTATTGGCAATGCCCTTTATAAGTCTTAGCAAGGACGCATTGCAAAAGATGTTACACTCTACATCACGGTCATCACCATACAAATGTCATTTCGGTTTATGTGGTGCAGAGCAGAGTACTTAACTGTACACACGTAGAATCAGCACTTTGTACCATAACATTTAAGGTAACAGTATTGTCAATATTAATCTAAGCTACGGGATTTTCTTATTGCATATTTATTGTTGCTGAGGCAGTTAGTTATAATACAATAATGCAATATCATAATTATTTTAAATAAAAACATTTTTTCCTTCCAACAATATAAAGACTGCTCTTTTCTAAAATCACACAGAGCATTGCTACATACAATTTACACAAATACTGAAAGATGTGACCTTAAGGCATCTGCTAGAAAAGCAGATGTGTATATGTATATGAACTAAATTATGCAAGAAAAAATATTGCACAAAATACTATTATTTTTCAAATAAAATTTTTGTTTAAATGTACATAAGTTCCTATTTCTTGACCAAGTCATAACGTTCACTGATTTGCTCAAAGACATTCTGCCTCTCAAAGAAGCTTTAAGAAACATACATTAACAATACCATTAGGCTCCATGTAGGAAAGGTGTTAATAATGACACAGAATTTCTAAAAACTATTTCCTATATTAAGAAGTGTTTTGAGGAAAATTAAATTTGAGGATTCATTTTACATTCCTAAATTTATATTCTGATTTACAAATATCTTCTCACATTCAGAATCTTTGATAGCAAACAAGTAGAATTCTTACTAGAAATTTTATTCATGAAAGTAATTAATCTCCTGAAAATCCAAATAGAGAATGAAGGTCTATGGATAAGAATATTCAGTTTTCTCCTCTCGATCAGAAGTCTACTTCTTTACTATTAACAAACAATTAATTCATTAGCATTCCCGAAACCTATTACTAAATATTAGGATAGAATCCTAATTACAGCAACTGTCACATACAGTTTCAGTTCAAAAGGAAGGAACTGTTTCTGGAAAATGTTATTATCAAGATCTTGAAAAAGAAAAAACTGGATTCCATACCTTCTGTTATTCCTCAACTGAGCAGAATGGCGTAAGTACAAAAGGGGCATCTTTCCCTGCCGAAGGAGGCCCTGTGGTGCTTTGCTCATCTGAAGAATCCAGCTAACAAGGACACTGACCTTCCAAAAATGTCTCTGAATCTGTCCTTTAAAAGTGAGTATCGTAGCAGCATTATTGTTATTAATGTAATAATTAAGGAAGATAATGAAATGAGAAATGGTACTGTACTCAGAACATGCTTTTGATTAAACAGCTATTAAAAACAACTTTTTTGGTGATAGAACCTTGGGCTAGTAACTCGTAAGCAGAGTACAATATTAATACAATATCATCATCATCACCATCATCACCATCATCATCTCACAATATTTCCAATTCCATTATTTTATTTCCCTACACCTTCAGTTATCATACCTTGCACATGGTCTGAAATGTTAATAACTGCTACTAGTTTTCTGTGTTTTCAAGAAGAACAGGTAGAGTTTGGCTTTTACTGTTGTTTTTTAACAGAGTAAAATAGGTAATTTTGTATGTTTAAAATAAGGCACAAATCACTTTAAAATACCTTAAGACAACTACATTATCTGTGAATGGCTTAATATCCTCAAGACAACACAGTAGTACCAGAGCCAATCATCTTGTAACATAACTGAAAAACAGAAAATCTGTGGTGATGATGTTTGTTAAGTAAATGGAATAAAACCCAAATATGGTTCATGCTATACTCCTGATTAGCTTATTCCTCAGACTGAGTTCTGAAAAAAAAAAACTGCTTCATTTCAAAATTCATAGTAAATGTTATTTTAAATTCTTTTTATAAATTAAGGAGTATTTGTCAATCAGATTAATCACTAGGGTAACCTTTTTCCTGGTGACTTAAAAGCTCTTATTTGGACTTTATTATGTATTTCACTGATATAGATTAAAATTTGTAATGAGCGTAAGAGGCAAAATTTGACAAGAACTTGAATCTTACTTTTCTGTTTTTAAAAAGTATTACATGAATTTTCTTTATATAGAGTCCACCCTAGAATAAAACTAGATTTTTCTTCCTGTATAATCATGAACGAATAATTATCTCTAATACAAGATATACATTTAGATTATGGAACACAGTTTTATAAAATATTTTGTTATTTTCTTTAAAAACTACCTGAATAAATATTTTAAGCAATGTTTTTGAGAATTCTCCTTCTAGGATTTTAAAGGAAATCATAATCTATCAGTAAATACTTTAGAGTACAATCTTATTGGGATTCTTGGATGGTTTCTTGAACACTTTTTCTAAAGAGATGTTTTTTAAAAATCATGATTACGATGTACAGAATGGATGACTGAGCACAGAAACAAATTAACCATAACATCACCAAGGATTTTTTTTATTTCCTGATTATTCCTGGCAGTCTAGCCTATCATAAAGTAGCCAGCATATGATTCCTTCTCAGATGAACTCCAAAGCTTATCAGTAAGATGAATCTTATCAGGGAGATGAATTTCCTATGAAGAACTCCAAATAATTTACTTGGATACTCCTCTGCCTTAGAGGAAACGAGTGGGCTGCCCATAGTGACCTCATTCCAAAGACAGCAGTGTAGAAAGGCGGGCAGTGGTAACTTTCCGGGACAGAAACCTGACAAGCAGTACCTTGATATCATGTGAGATGAAAACAACAGTTTATTTCTGTGCTCCTCTTCCCAGAACCACCTCGTGAGAAATCTAATCTATGAGAAACATGTTAGACAAACTCCAAGGGAAGGAAGGACATTCTACAATTTATCTCACCAATAGTCCTCAAAACTGTCAGTAAAGTCTAATAAACTGCCACAGCCAGGAGGACACTAAGGAGATATGACAACTGGGTGGAGTGTGGTGTGCTGGGACAGAAAACAGATACTACAGGGTAGAGGAAACCGGAAATCCGAGTAAAGAGCAGGCTTCCAATACTGGCTCATTAGCTGCGGCAGAAGGACCATGCTATCTTCAGACACTGAGAGAACTTGTGTGCATGGAGCCTTCTATCAACTCTTTGCAATTTTTCCATAAATCTAAAACTTCTAAAATATAAAGTCAATTATTTAAAATGTAATCTGAGATGAGAATATAAAGCATTTTCTACAGAAAAAATATTAATTAAGGAAAAAAGACAGAAAAAATTCCTTTGTAGGACAGTTTGGCTTGCATTTGGCTTTCTTGAGGGGGCCCTGGATAGCAAAGGCAGACAGAGAGACCACAGACATTTTGAGTCTCCTTTGTAAACAAAAGTCATTAACTTCACACTGCAACTAAGTACTTCATATACGTCACTGAGTGAAAGGCAAATTTGTACCTTTTTATGTTTTGAAAAACATGGCTGCAGTATCCTTATAAAAGCAAGTATTTCCACAAGAGAGCTTTTAAACCTTGAAAAAAATTAAATTTGACCTTAAATGGATGAGTAGAAAAGGCATTATTGCTCTGCAGAACAAATAACTTCTCTTTCAAACTTTACATGTAATTTCTTAAGCTATGACGTATGCTTGGTGGAGCTTTAAGATTAAGGCAATTAGTGGATTAAGAGTTTTATCAGTTTCAGGCTCGTTTTGATAAAATGGGACATCTTGATCAGTTCATGCTCAACCAGATTAATACAGTAGCTACTGGCTACATGTAAGGATTATATATGCTTACTTATTTTAAATAAAATGAATGGCATAAGCACCAAATACTTGGAAATCATATGTTCAACATATCCTCTCCACATACATACTAACTCGTACCTGGTTTAATAGCACAGTAGAAGAATTTGCTTTACATTTAAAAGTCAGTGGATAACATATATCCATGAGATGAGCGAGTGGGGTTTGTTCCAAATGAAAAAACAAAATAAATAGTAGAAAGAGTTGTCATCCTTCCAAACAGTTTTAGTCCCTACACAGATCACAGGGGATCCCCAAGTGCTTCCTGGACGGTTAGATGAGAGGGACACACCCTCACGGTGATCTACACTTGGTTTCCCCTTGCGCTTCCTTTTGAAATGTGTGAGCCTTGCCCGGAGTCGGACAACAGGTGATGCAGTGACACCATCTCACAGAGCAGTCCAAGGTCTTCCGAATTCTCCTTGACTTCTTTTCCCTCTTTCTCCCAAGGAACAAAAGTAGAGGAACATCTCCCAAGGCTGGGCACAAACAGATCATCTGAAACCTGGCTTAGTGTTTCCTCCTTTTCTGTTTCTCCTTTATTCGTTTGGGAAACTTCAGGGGGAGCTAGCTGGGAACCCAGTCCTGAGGGAGATGCTGGCTTTCCCACCACAGGAGGGCCACACTCGTTGCCGGCACTGAGGTGTTTTTCATTGTTTTCCTCCTTCAAGATAAACAGAGACTCCGTCAAGCCACTAGCGGAAACCTGCTTCTCGGGAGACGGAGGGAGGTGCTTGCCATGCAGGGCGCTGTCATCCTGCCCCAGGTTGCACTCTGCTTGATCTCCACAGCCACCACAGAGGGCCAGGTTATTTTCGCTAGGAGCATTGGATTTATTCTGAAAAAAGAAACAAGTTCAAAACACTGCCAATAAAATTATTATTATAGAATTTTTCTCCATTTTGAAAACAATGTTCATATTTTGCAAGGCTGGAAACCTGAAGCTTCTTCCAGAAAAAATGCAGTAGTGACAGTGAATTCGATACCTCTAAATAGTTCCGTAAAGTGGACTGAAATTAGACGGACTTTGGTTTCCACGTCCTTGTAACTGTCACCTGCCAAACTCAAACTAGAGCAAAGTTCTGGAATCTCTCACAATCACAATGAGGTTGCCTTTGCTCGTACTTCTAACTCAAATGCATTTAAAGAATTCAATTCCTTTCTGAAGTTCATTTTTGAAGCAAGAAAATGGAAAAAAAAAGAGTTGAATAACATATTTTTAAATAAAGGGAAAAAATAAGATAATTTCATATTTTTGAAATTCCCCTAAGAAAACAGCTGTAAAATTTGATTTCAAGAAAATATTGCTACTGGACAAAATAATTTCAAATACTGACAAAAACCACCAGAACTGGATACATGAAAAGGAAAATTTTGGAATTTTATTATTTAAGTAATTTTAATAATTAAATTTTTCATATTTTTGCAGTTGGATACATACATAGAGGTTAAACATGTCCAGCAACTAAGATTATAACATCAGACAATGTCAGTAAGGGCAAGGTTGCATTCATTTAATAAGCTGAAGGATCAACTGACCGTAGGTTTGTAATCAATATCATCCATTGATCTGAAGAAATCCAAGCTCTTTGCAGCTGCCAGTTTTCCTTGATCTGAGCTGTGTGTGCTCAGTGTATCGAGGATCTCTCCTAACAAGTCCATTTCACCTGAATAAGGAGCCTTTATTCTTGTTTCGACAGAATCATCACTTTCATAAAAATAAGCAGAAGCTTCTTCGCCATCTTCCACAGATAACCTGAGGGAAGGAGACACGAACAGTGGACAGGTGTCCGCGTAGGCTGCGCGTGAGCTGAGCCCCTTCCCCCCAAGCACAGTCCTTGAGGTGCTGAAAACCAAAACGCTACTTCAGTGGAACAAAAACAGTAACTGGCTCATGGTCAAACTCTGTGGAGTTGAGTATTAACCATTTAACACTAGAAATTTTAAGAATGTGTATTAGGAAGAAAGAAATAAAAAATTTATGGTAACTGAACAGTCTGGAGAAAGGGACAAGGCTGCCACCCAGACTGCTTCCTTGAGATGGGGACCTTTTCCCCAGACCGAAGACGCGAAAAGTGTGTGGTAGCCCAAGTGCACTTTCAATGTGATTACAGACTTCTCCTTTTCCTATTTACTTACTCACTTTAGAGGAAACGTATATTACTTTATATAGGTAGATTTCCTTAATGAAGCAAAAATAATGCCCATTTTGTCATCCTCATATATCTTAAAATTAGAAAGAAGATAAATATCTATCATTTACTTAACATTAATTTTAACACTTGGTACTAAGTTTCCCTTGTTCAGATACAACCCTAAATAAACTTAATCGCTCCTCTCAACTCAGTGTCTTTCAAATTGATTATCACCACTGTTCCCCATATTTGGCCGCCCCTCTCAGCACGAGGGTGGGAGAAGACTCAGGCGGACTTATCTCTGCCCAGACAGCTCTGTGGACACTGCTGTTCCCAGGAACAAGCGGCTGCAGGCCTAGCTTTCTCTCCTGTCCGGACACTTGTCCCCTGCAGCATTCCAAGGAGCACCGGTTCCTTTGGGTGATGCTAACTGAAGGGAACAAAATCTGAGCTCTCGGCGTACGCACTTTGAAATACCCTAAAACTTAAACTTCTGCCGTTGAGCCGCACCAGTAACAGCCCCCTGAGCCTTCGCTTACTTGCTTGCTCTTTCGCTGTCCTCATCGTCATCACATAGGGCACCATCCAGGCTCTGAAGAGACTTTTTCAAGCGTGCCTAGACAGAGAAATGGACAATGAGTTGACATTTGTGAGTTATATTAAATCCCTTTGATACGTTTTTAAGGAATAAGGTGATTTTTGTCAGAAACAATTTAAAAAGTGTTTGAGTGCTACCCAACAGCTTGGAAAACAGACAAGAAGAAATAGAAGTAGTCAGGTAATATTTACCTAATACTTAGGCACTGAAAACACATCACCGGACTGAACACACATATAAGGACACTGTATTAAGCATCTTTAACATCAATCACACCTCACCGATCACACATCACAAAACTTTAAAAATTATCAATAGCAGCCGATCTTATTTTTTCTCCATCCATACCCCAAGTGAGAGCAGTGTTTCTCAACCCTTAATGCGGACAGGCTGTGTTGACAGTCCCCCATTACTCCTCAGAGATTTGAGTTTATCTATTCATTTCTTCGGATCAGAATACCAGGAAGATTGCTCTTGTACTTGGTGTACAGTTTTCTCCAGTCTGTTTCAGAGCACTCACTTATGCTTACCCTCCTTTCCAACACTGCTGTCCTTTCAAACAAATGTAGGATTCTACCCTCATTTCCTATAAGCTGGTAGCTACATCTAGAGTTTTAGGCAGATTCAATTTCTCCTTGTTTTTTGGCAAGAATATGCCATGGGTGGTGATATATGTTTTCTAGCAGCTGCACTGGCAGACACATAATGTGTAGATACCCAATTTTCGATATCATGAAGATGGATCAGTGGTTCCAGTTGTGGCTTTGCCAATCTATCTGCTATACATTTCTTCACCAGTTTCTCACTTGATGGTTCCAGTATCTTCGGACAGTGGTGGTGAACTTATAGCACGTGTGCCACAGTGATTGTTTGTATCATTGGCAGCTCTGTTGTGTTTTTCTTTTAAGACAAAAAGATTTTTTTTTCTAAAGGAAAACCTCAGATTCAACTGCATTGATGGCATTTTGCCATAAGTAAATAGGTTTGGGATTGCAGGTTGGGTACTCAGTTTCTAAAAGGTTCGGCATCACTGTCTTTTGATAAACACTGGCTCAATCCACGATTTCATTACACAAGGCCCACAGAGGCAGGCTTTCCTTAAGCATTCCTTCTGTATTTGCTGGCATTTCAGAAAGAACTTTATCTTACCTGCTTGGCTATCCCAAAAAACATGCACAAGAAAAAAGATAAACCATTGTTTCCTTTCATTCAACAATTTTGGGAGCAATTAGGTGCTGCCATAGCAATTTCTATGGCTGGGGCGTTTGGCTTTAAGATGCTGTCCTGATCTATACTTATCTGACAGAGTTCAACCCACCAGTTATTATTACCTCTGTTTACAAACTGCCCCATCTTTTAAGTACACCCTAATTTTAATTTATAAGTAGTCTTTTCCTTTTAGAGATTTACCTTGAAGCATTCAGATCAAATGATGCGCCATCTATGTCGACATGATTCAGGCGTGGAAAATGGAGAGTGGGCAAGGCTGGCCCTGTGTCCGTCACTGTTGACACCGTATGAAAGATAGAGGGGAACTTTCCCTGCTTCTCTTTATTACTAATATGGCTGAAATGTTTTAAGATAAAATGTAAAAGATTCCAGTTGGTGAACAAGATTTCAGGAAAGAACTCTGATCTCTCCATGTGGGAAATGGCATTTAAAGTACAGTCCGGGTGCTGTGGATGCTGAAGACTACATCACCGTCCTGGGCTGGCAACCGCAAGCTCGGATTTTGAGTTCCCGTCTTCTGGCTGTGATCTCCCACTCCAATAATCCCCTTCCTTTATTGCACCCACAAAGTATACGCACATCTCCGGGATCCACAGGACAGACCCTTCCTCCTCCACTCCCCTACACCGTATTACACTCATCCAACAAACAGTAAAGAAGGTGCCTCCTGTGTGCAGGGACTGGGCTAAATGCTTGGACACAACAATGGCCAAGAACAGGATGACCTCGCCCTCATCCACGTTACATTTCACTTAAGTCAGACATGAATTACACTGAATACTCATACAAATAACCATGGCTTACATAATAATGGCTTACAAAAGCTTATTCTAAACTGTGATTGCTATGAAAGCACTTAATAGAAATGTGACCTAGTCTGAGAGGTCAAAGTAAATCTTTCCCTGAAAGATGAAGACGACTGTGTTGAGCTCTGCGATGTTGGTAGGCGATGAGAAGATGAATTTCCTCTGGTGGGACAATCAAGGCATACACAAGGGAATGAATGATAATGATGTGCTGTGGATTAGAACGCGTGTGGGTGTATTTTTCCAGCCTATCGACTCTTGCAGTTACCTCTTTAACCACTAGATGGCAGAAACACACTAAAAAGGCAAAAGACTGATCAGCTTCTAATTCTTCAGGGGAATGAGGTGGAAGAAATTAGAGATGATGCAGAAAAGTGTGGGAGTTGAGAAGCTGGTGTGGAGGTGGGGGAGTAGACAAGGGCAGTCCCCTCTCAAGTCCAGACAATGCAGAGCAATAGAAAGCCAGTTCATCAAGTGTTTATGGTGAATCTACTGAAAATAGGGCTGGCACACCCTGAAAGTAAGGCAGCAGCTATATCTCAAATGGATTTTGGTTCTTAGCATCTCTGCATCCCATAAACATCCACTCAGCAGCCACTGTATGCACGCTACTAAATCCAAGCAGTGAGGCTTGTAGAAGAAATGAAAATGATACTCCCTCTTTTCAAGATATTTTAAAAATACAGGGTGAAAATGCTAAAGCACTAAACATAAAGCATGAGAGGAAAAATTTTTTTTATTCCTCACTGTGTGATTATACTTGAATTTAAACTTTTCAGCATAGATGAAAACTTGTGTAAATGATTCATAATTAATACTGAATAACTGTATAAAACCAATCATAATGTCAAACAAAAACATTCCTAATAATCAAAGAGTAGGACCAGTCAGCGAAACAGTAATGATAACAATACAGAATTGTAACTAAATATTTAAACAATGGCAAATTCTGGGATCAAATCAGGAGATACAGAACTTGTCAGGTACACACACCTGGTACAGCCGCCTTAACAGAAGTTAGTTCAGGAGTTACACAGAGGTTGTAAGGTCAGTAACTTTCTGTGGAGCCAGTACTACACAAAATAATGGCAGAAAACACTTCATAAAAGTGAAATAAGTAGGGATTTATATCATTTTGATATAAAAGATTCAAAGTAAGATAACTGGATGCCATATATCTTAGGACTCTTACTAGGTTCCGATTATGCATAACTGTAAAGTAAAATTTGCACCCATGAAAATGTAAAGTATACATCTAGTATATCTGAAAACTCACAAAGTAAATACTCATATGACAAAGGTTGCTTGCTATGCAGGTGGGAAAATAATAAATTAATGAAAATGAAACTTATTGGTATGGAATGAAAGTTATTGAGGAAGATTCTACTAGAAAAGCATTTTTTTAATTAAATAAAAACCATAAGAAAGGCTGGGCGTGGTGGCGCACGCCTGTAATCCCAGCACTTGGGAGGCTGAGGCAGGAGGATTGCTGTGAGTTCGAGACCAGCCTGAGCTACATAGTGAGTTCCAGGTCAATCTCAACTACATAATGAGACCTTGTCTCAAAAAACAAAAACAAAACAAAACAAAACAAAAAAAAACCATAAGAAAACATTACCAGTAAATCATAGGGCAGAAGGACTAGCATGTGAGGAGACCTCAAGAAGTAAGTCTGTTTTACCTACAGTGGTTTCTGAAAGTGCATCGGGCTGAACAAATGGTAAAAATCATTCCCCCTGGCATGAAGGAGACCATTAATCTCACAGTTACTGTGTGGATCACTAGATGGCAGACAAATACTAATAAGGCAGAATGAAGGGTACATTTAAATTCGTATGAGGGGGTTAGAGAGGATAATAAGTAGATAAACCCCCTACACCCTAAGACTTAATAAAATTGAGGATTGAGGTGCTTGTAATATACATATGTTTTCAAAAATGGGTACAATCTTTGCTGCTGCTCCCATTTAGGAGTTGGGGCAACCAAGGTGCAGAAGGACTGCTTTGCATAACCAAAGTCTACAGCAAAACCCTGAGTCACACATTTTATACACTAAGACAAAAATATCTGCATGAAATAGTTGTTTAACAATAAAATTTAAAAATATAGAATTAAAATGACAACACCTTAAACGTGAACAGCAGTTTATCATTTAAAAAGAATTTTAAAGACACATGTATTTTAATTTTTATAGGTACCAGTAGTAACTGAGGTAGAGTTATTCATGATTAATTTGCTTCAGTGTGTTTAATGTTTATATAGTATACTTTTTACTTCATTTAAAAGCTTATGCTAAAAGCTTATGTTGTGGGGCTGGGATTTAGGTCAGTAGTTCCACTGCCTACCTCACAAGTGCAAGGTCCTGAGTTCAATTCCTGGTACCAAATAAAAAGCTTATGTTGAGATTTAGCCCAGTGGTGCCACCGTCTGCCTCTGCAAGTGCAAGGTCCTGAGTTCGATCCCCAGTACCAAAAAAAGAAAAACTTTAAATAGCCTATGTTATCACAAATTTTGGTAAGTGTATTTCCTATTTCACACATTAGGGAACCTAAATCTTAACAAAGTTAAGCGACTTGGGCAAGATTAGGTAATGAGGAAGCAACAGAGCCAGGATGCCCGCCCAGTGTTCTGACTGTATGAGCTGAGCTCTTTTCCTAAGTAGTTAGATAAAAACCTCCGGAGGGATCCTACAGAACTCAGTGTCTGAGAACAAAACTGAGAAAGACTCTGAAAATGGCAAGTTTGAATGTCATTTTCTTTCTTTTTTTGGCTTTTGAGACAGGGTCTATGTAGTTGAGACTGACCTGGAATTCACTATGTAGCCCAGGCTGTTCTCGAACTCACAGCAATCTTCCTGCCTCAGCCTGCCAAGTGCTGGGATTACAGGTGTGCGCCACCACGCCCGGCCTGAGTGTCATTTTCAAAGCAGATAAATGGTAGTTAGAGAATGATGAGAGCACTGATGCTCCAGGTAGGTCGCAG